TGCGCGCAGCGGAAATGATGAGAGGAGAGACGAGAGGGAGGACTGAGAGAGGAAGAGAGCGAGAGAGGGGAGAGAGAGGAAAGATTTCGTGAGAGGAGAAGAGAGAGACATGAAAAGGAGCGGAAGATGAGAAAGGAAGAACAGAGAGAGGAGGAGAGAGAGAGACGAGAGAAGAGAGAGAGAGCGAGAAGAGGAGAGAGGAGAGAGAAGATGACGGATGAGATGATGATGATGAGAGAGAGGAAGAGAGAGAAGAGAGAGTACGAGAGACGCATGAGAGAGAGGAGGATGATGAGAGAAACGCACTATGTAGCGGTCTGGTGGGGAAGCGCACACAGCGAGTTGCGGTGACCTTCAGGATCGTTTTTCATCGTCTCGCATTTCTGGGCGAATCAGATGCAGTCTCGTGCGCGGTGTATAGCGAACGCTACACACACAATACACACCTACATAACAACACACACGACACTACACACGACACACATACCGGCGCTGCTGCGCGGCACGCACGGAACCGCACGCAAGCACTGCACGCACGCACGGCCATCGCACGCACGCCGATCGAAACGCAGCAAGCTACGCACGCACGCACACACACGCGGCGCGCGCACTCCTTCTCTCCCTCCCTCCCTCCCTCCCCCTCTCTCTCCCTCTCTTTCTCTTTCTCTCGCTCACTCGCTTTCTCTCTGTTGATGATAATAAGCAGCTTAGTAGGTAGACTACGACTCTGACGTTTTGCCGGTTGGGCGTGTCGGCGGGTGGCGTTATCTGTGTACGGCATCGTCCGCCTTATTTGCGTACTCGGCTCGGCGCGCACAAAAACTTCGCAGAAAGTCGGCAAACGTCGTTCGTCGCGACGACACGTTGCCCCGAGCGAATCGGAGGAATTTGTGGACACAGCGTATAATGTGGACAAACACACACCGCGGTAAATCCGCCGTCGGTTTAATAATGTCTTGTATAGGTAACCGATCTGCTGAACAGCAGTACTGCCTGATTCTTTGGCAGAATTTTTGTGCGTTCTGATCGGTGCTTTTGTTATGAAACGCATAAAAGGGCAGACCCGACGAGCATATGTACGCGCATGCGCGCACACTCACACAATCACGGTTACCCCTAAAAAATATGTGAAAACGGGTATACACTACGCGAAGGATCGTGTACGCACGCATGCACACGCTCGTAGTACACACATGCAACACTGCATGCGCACAGATACACACGCACACGCACGCACGCACCCTCACCCGACACTCACATGCAGCATTGCACATAAGCACCCACACTCGTGCACACACGCGCACGCTCACGCACACAGGTACACACAGCATCAACTTCACACACTCCTGCCACGCACGCACGCCCCACAGCGCACGCACGCACACACTCCCGCCACGCACACCCGCCACGCACGCACGCACGCACATATTCGTGCGCACAATGCTCGCTCTCATCCTGAGAATCTCGTTTACAGCTTAGCATGTCAACGTCGACTCCAGCGGTTGTCAACACGGCATGCTAGGCTCGTTGCCGCCGCGTGGTATCACACGGTATTAATCGCCGAGGCTTACAACCGCAGACGTTGTTACGTGGCAGAAAAAAGAGACTTTAGTCATTACGCCTCTAATCGCTTTCGCAAACAATAACGCCGATGCGTGTTTATATATTTGCAGGCGATATGCCCCTCTGGCGAGAGCGGCTTGGGAAGAAGGAGAAGGAGAGAGATCTACAAAGACCCGAATGAAGTCGAAGTGCCAGATACTGAAATTACGACTCATATAACAGTTTTATCTGATGAGGACGATGCGTACTTTGATAGATATAGATATTCAAGCGACTCTGTCAGCGGTAAGAACACCGAATGACTAGTGTGTTTCCATCCTGACCTGCTGATCCCATAATAATGCGTGTTATGTGTGTAACACGTTTCTGTGTTACTAGCGTGTGCGCAATTTCATCTGACACTCAATATTTCACGTATCAAGCAAGCCAGTATTTGCAACAGCAATTTGCACAAGCACATAAATTTTAAATGATAAATTTCGCGATATCAAGTTACCTTTTAAACGAAGTGCTTAATTTGGATAATTTTAATGATAGAAAAACGTTGGGAACATGTGCGAGTAATTTGTGCGTGTGCCAGCTCATCTTCACAATGCCGTATTTAACCCGGCACTAAAGTGAATTACCACTTAAAGTTATATAGTGAAAGTAGTTTCGGAGCGGAGGGTGTGAAGCAAATAGCTTTTTTCAGTGCGCATACTAGAAGGAGCCTTCACATACCGGATACGATTGGGTTTGCCTGTCACAGCATCGTAATGACGCGTGAACGTCGTACGTGATTGCTGCTTATATTACACGTGTTTGTTTTCACGTTTCTTTCAGAAGAAGGAGCTACGACTTCGCGAAAAGCATCTCACTGTGTGGCACAGAGCAAGGCTATCATCGTAGCCTCTCTACTAGGCGTTAGTCTGGTCGTCTTCTTCAGTCTGCTAGCGCTTTGCATTTTTCGCCAATGCAAACGGCAGCACGAGTAAACCAACGCCCCCTATAGATTAACGACTATATACGCCTTCTACCGGCGAGTTATATGCGCGTAATCGGGTCTACGTTAGCGTTTCGACAGCTAGAAATCTCTTGGATTACAGAAAAAGCGCAGAAACGTACACCCGATTTAAGGAAAGATTCATATAACTAGAGTCACAATCGAGTTCTGCTCACATTTAGCTGGCTTTCTGTGGGGTTTAACATCCGTGGCTGTGACGTCGCCGTGCGGCTGTATTACACACGAATAGTCACGCGATTATTTGCGCAATACAAACGTTTTGAAAACTCGAAAGCTACGCGTCGTATGTTACTAGTTACAAATCGAGGCCCGTGTCAACTTTTAATGCCAATTAAGATTAAATATGATTCGTGTAGCGTATGAACCACATACTGTATGTACGCTGTACTTGCTAAGTATAACCACGGCTCTTGAGGGTTACTCCGTCAACAAAGGCGGTTCAAGGCGGTTCACCGAAATGCGGCGTCGAATTCACGGGTTTTTTTTCCATCCGAGACGCCCGCCGTTCAACACGAAAAAAAACTCGAATTACAAACTGTCTGTAGAAATCGTCTTGCTTCTTAAATCGTGCTATTATGCCGAGGCGCTGACAGCCGACACCTTTATAAATCGTGCAACGCCCAATCGTACGATCGCCAGGTAACGGCCTTGATCCAGCCGAAACGCGTGAGCAAGCCAGCCAGCGCACGTGCCTCGATTTATTTTCTCGGATAATATAAAGGGTCAGTCGGGCTTAATAACTAATAACGGGTCACCTTAAACTCGTAAACGTCGATAATTGCCACCAACCATAAATAGCCGCAAGAACTCGTCGTGATCAAACGGTAGATGGCGCTCGCTTACCGACGATATATGGGCGTTTGTCGTACATATGAAGACCATAATTCTCCCTTTTCGCGACGTGCCGACACTAGATGGCGGCACCGTCGGAAATCGGTCCCGGGCTTCTCTTGCAGAGTAGGAAACCCCTAAAAAGCGATGCTTCGCCGAGTGCTAAAGCCAATCACAGAAACTATTAGAGAAAAGCCATAAAGATACGACTAACGTAATTCAGGGCGTTTGCCTATGTAGTCCTCGTGACGTTGTAAAAAATAATTATATCTTGTCAACGTCTGACTAACTTCTGTGCGGGCACAGGCTCCTGTATCGGGTCTCTCTCCAGTACTTTATTTCTTACAGCGGAGATCCGATATCCTTATCGCTCATCCTAACACATGTACCTATTCCTGATATTTTTGCTGAGAAGCAGTGTTCTCGCTCCTCGCCTGCCTACAGGTCGATATCAGATTAAACAGATTGTACTTTAGATTGTAAAATAACGATATAGATTGCTTTATTTACCTATTCTGATGATGATACTTGAAAGAGATATTATATATAGATTTACCCTATCCTGATAAATGATATCGATACTTTTCACTATTTAAATATCTCGTTTTTTATCGAGTACTGTATCGACAAAACATTTTGATGATCTCTGGACAGACACTTTCGTGTCCGTTCTATTTCACTGTCATTACATAACATGTGCGAGTTCATAACAAATCGCCTTATACGTACTATTGGTAACACCAATAGGTAACACTAGAAAACACGCATTGAAACCGTGAAATTTTCTCCACGTGTTTAACTATGAAGTTTGGTTTTAAAAAGGGAGATCTTATTCGCGCGTTCCATGTTTTTATCCCATGCGTCGATTCCATGACATTCAGGCTATTATTTGAGCGGCATTTATTTGCTGTTTTTCTAATGGAAGATTTTAAAATATCCGATCGAATATTTTAAGGATACGCAAGAATTCGAATGGGTTTCCAATATCAGCCATTAGAATAAACATCAACAATGTCATAAATTATAAATACGGTCGGACTATCCTACACTCAATACTGCAATTTTAAACATAAAAACGCTAAAATTATGATATCATGAACCGTGCAACAATCAGGTTTATTACTAACGTGTACCCTATGTTCAGTAGGTGCTAAAGGCGTCCCGTGCTACGACAATAAAGAGACGAAGAACACAGTAGTTGACCTTCTCTGTAGTTAGTTTGGTCTAGTTCGCTTGTTCTTCCATTAATCACTCACAGACTTTATCATCCCCCCTTAATACAATCACCGCCGGTGTTGTGAGATTGCTGTAACAGAAGAAAGTCAACATCCTGACATGTGACGTGTCCGTCTGTGAAAAATGAACAATGAATCAAATATATCTCAAATTATAATAACAAAATGTTTATGTACCGTAAACTGGCAGGATGATTCTGATAGGAATTAATGCTTTACTAAGCATTGGCTATAGTGCCATCGAGATCACAATTTCTAAATACCTGTCAAATGGCGAGTACACTAAAAGGTGAGAGTAAATGGTATCTGTGATTACACCTCCTGTTACTTATTCAGGCATAATAATCAAGTCTGTAAAAATGCAGGTC